ACAGTGACGTTTGGGGGACGAAGGAGATGGGGAGGAAAGGAGAGAGGTTTAAAACCCACAGGAAATGCTTTTACATCTCAGATGCTGCTGCTTCTAACCCAAGAGGAATTAAAACAAGCAGTAAGTTGAAGCCTACGTTGTGCGTGTCCTTCCCCTCATGTGATCCTTGTGACCGCAGCATCAGTTTGGAGCAAGCACCTGCGGAAAGGGGAGCCCGTGCCCAAGCATGGGCTGCTGCAGCCTGCGCGCCGGGCAGGCTGGCTCTGCAGGATCAGGCCGGGACGAGGTGCAGCTACTGACGGTGGACAGGACCAGGTAGGTAGCAACTCTGGGGGCCTGCGAAAAAAGCCAGTCAGCTCCACTCAAACAGAAAGACATTTGGTGCTTGAGACCGAAACTCAGTGGCTGTATTTGCTTTCCAAATATGACTCCCTTAAAGGAAAAGCTTTCTCTTCTTTCCTTTTTCTAGCCAGAATTTACAGTAACACTAAGCGTCAGATTCATTTAATCTTCTAACTAGAGCCTGCTTACTTGTCCCCAATATTTCCCCCGAGGAGTTGCAGACTTTTAAGATAGAGGGTCAGTATTTGAGAAACTGGAGGTGGAAGCATTCCTTCCTGCCATGGATGTAGCTCCCTCTATTTTGGGCGGGCAATCACAACTAATGCCTGGGGCTCTGGCAGGCACTGCTCATGGTTTGTCAGAAATGGATTTTTTCAATCAGACTGCCACATCTTTGAGACAGAGCAGATGCCTGGAAAGAAGCTCAGGAGGCCTTCAGTCCTGCTTCCACCTCTGGAGCAGCCTCAGCTCTTCCTAAATCTTGCTTGACAAGCGGTTGTCTAACCTGTCCTTGAAAACCTCCAGTGATGAAGGTTCTGCAATGTCCCAGGCAAGCCATTGTTTCTTCCCAATAGCAAACCTTTAGTGCAGGTAGGGCCATCGTCTCTATCTTACGCACCACAGACAAAGAGAAAAAATTGTTCCCCTCCTTTTCCTAGTGGTCTTTTACATACATGAAGACCGTTACCAAACGACCTCAGTATTCTTTACTTTAGGCCAAGTGTCGAGCTGCATTATATATTTCTTTCCATAATTTCACCATATTCTAAGAAACGGTGTTATTCCTCCCTGGTCCATTAAGGCAGGCACAGTGAGAGTGCCTTCATCATCCCCACACTCTTTTCTATGCAACGCCCGTGGAAAATTAGGAGTCTAAAAGCGCTCTGTTGAATTTAGGACCTAGTCTCTGCTTAATGTGAGAGGACAGTTAGTGGTATGTTTCCCAAAAGTTCAGGTGTGTTATTCCCTGACGTGCCTGCTTGCTGATTCTGCATCTGCTCCATTTTTTTCCCTAGAGTTCACTGAGCTGTTACCAACCAATATTCCTGTTGAAAATAGCCTGTTCTAAAATACACCAAAGTTATGCCAGAATCCATACATTTGTCTGCTCACTGAGTATAAATATCTCTCTCTCTCTCTCTCTAAAAATGCAACCCATGTAAGTGCTTTTCTGTGCCTTTCTGTATTCTCCTTCTTTTCAGAACATGGTCCAACTCAGAAGGCCAGAGTGAGGCATCCCTCTACCCTAAGGACCCTGCAATCCAGGCAGGAACAGAAGATGTGAGTATGAGCAGGGTCATGCAAGCAAAGATGTGTATGTAGAATCAAGGAAGAAACCAGAGGCCTATTTATCTCACCCGCCACGGCATTATCGTGATGCAGTATCCCATGACAGTGACATGCCAGAGGCTGTGACATGCCCTTTCTTTTGAAAGCAAGTAACCAACAGTTCTCTCTTTTTGAGGCCCAGGTACAGGTTTTCAGCTTTTGTTCTACAAATTCGCACACAAGAAAGTTTGTCGTCACAAGTCAGTTTGGGACTTTTCCCTGGGACCGTGTTTTATCACCACTGTTGAGAGAAGATGCTCAGAGGGAGGGGAAGTGATTTATGCAAATTCACATGTGGTCAACATCCAAATCTCCCACTCTCTGAGCTGCAAAACCACCTCTTCTCTCTTTTAGCTAGGGTTATAAAGCATTATTAGTTGTCTCTCGCTTCCATTTTTCCACCTCTATTTGTCTCACTTTACAGGATATTCCTGGGAAGATTATGGAGAAACGCATGCTAATGTTTGCTTGTTTCAGGCAGAAGTGCTGTGGGGAAGAACACGGGAGGAACTGGCAAACTTGCTGGTCACACAGCCTATCAGTGGCTGGGAAGGGATGAACATCCACTCGCTTGGGGAAATTATTTGGTCCTCCCTGGTTTTTCTGAGAAGTTATTGCATGGAGGTAATGATCCTCTTACTATACTGAGTAATATGCAAGGGATAAGTTGGGGGTAAATTTGGATTTCATACATCCTGTCCAAATTACTGTCAAATCCCAGGGCTTGACTACAGCTACAATTTGTCCTGACCTTTGTTTTCTAGAGTTAATGCTGATACGTTCAACTTTTCTCACCCGTGCCAGCAAAAGCTGAATGGATTTCATAGCCACTTCCTTAAGCAGCATGAATGTTTTCATTCATTCCCTGGGGAAACAAGAACGTGTTTTTTTGCCAGAAGTTTCTTGTATTCTTTTCCCCTAAGAGATAAGGACTGGTTATTTCGGTTGCAAATTTGCATGTGTAACAATCGAGCCCTCTCCACAGATACTGGAGGGGACTGGTAAAACTAAATGCAGTGTGATTGCCCTGCCCCTGGTTTTGATGAAGTCAGAAGGGGAAAATGAGATCTATTCCAACTTTGCTGTGGATTCGTGTCTCTAACTGCACACCACTGTTTATTTGGCCGTATACACAGGAGCAAAACCACCCTGTCTCACAGAAATGCCACGGTCTGGCTTCCTAGTGCTCAGAGAGCACACAGGGACCATTTAAGGAAAGGTGATATAAAATGACAAAGTAGTGACATAAAGCTTCAGTCAAACTGTGACCCAGTGCAGGAGTCCAGCAGTCAAACACCGCATAGCTCCTAGCCACCAGGCACTAAGCCCAACAGCCTTCAGCACTGTCTGTACGTAAAGATGCTCCAAGTACTGCATCAGCAGAAAGGAAGAGAAGGTGAAGAGCTTTGAAGAAACATAATTTCCTTTTTTTAAAAAAAAAAAATTGAAAACATTTTGGAGGAAAGATATAATTTCTAGGTGGTGGAATGCTACATTGTGCTGTCCTCCTTCCACTTGCTGTTTCTGTCAGTGGATCGTACAAAGAAGGCATTTGTTTATGAGGTAAAGCACAAGAATCCTTTTGTGTCTGTGGCATCCATGTTCATATTCCAGATTTCCTAAATATCTCTTTGCTCCTAGCTCTAGCATGTACGTGGCAAAAAGAGTACCTACCCTCAGTGCCCTGCCAAGAGGAAGGCTCAGGATGGCACAAACCCGCAGGTCCCATCAGCCAAGACAGAGACACTTCACTGAGTTCAGGGGAGCTTTGGCATGTTTTCTAGCACAGTAGCTCACAATTCTCACTTTTTCAGCTTACTTTGAACAGGGAAGGAAGCCTGCTCCAGGGATTGAAGTGCCAGTTTTTATTTATATGCCTACTTCTAGGATCTATAATGTTAGCTGGCCTTTTATCGCTTAGTTTGTTTACCCAGGAGAGGGACTGCAGCTCTGTACAAGTGGGCTAAGTGAACAAGGCATCAACCAGGAGGTATTGAAAGAGGGTCCTAAGAACAGACACGGTGTACCAAGGAGAGGCATCTCCAGAAGAGCTGTCTTCAGCACAGCGACGTCTCCTGACGGCTGTCTTTGGTACATGTCTGTGGATCCAAAATGTGAGAAAAAGAGCCAAACTAGGAAACTTCCTAACTACAGAAAGAAGGTCCTTGATCTGTATAACATTGGAGTTGATAACAACCTAAGCCCCTCCATCAGTTAAGATTGGTGGTGTAAGAGGACACAGAAAAGAAATCATCACTTTATGAAATACAGGATCCAAAATGCAACCTAGGGCCTCTTTGTCCCAAACATGCGTGTAGGCTTCTAGCATGGTTTGGGGCCATGAGGCAGGAATTAAAGAGGAGGAAACTGCAAGGCAGATGAAATTCCATCCAGTTCACACAAAGTACTTTTCAACACCAGCCTTGGTCTATTGGTGGAGCTCACCCCTATACCGCAGAGCACTTTATGAAGGAGGACAGTAATTTTACGGGTAGGGAAACATGAATAACCCCCCGATATTCTATGTCTTAGACAATGAGCTGAACGTCATCCCACACCAATTTCCATAAAGTCAAAGTTTTGAAGGATGGGAAATTCTTTAGCCTAGCTTGCAGCATTCTGCTGTAGATCAGAGGGACTGCAGTGGGACACAGAGAAGTTGTTGTTACCAACCAATTTCTAATACAATTCCCTACCATACCAGGGTCTCCTTCCTCTTGCTGGGATGCATCTGAGAGAGACTGCAAGTGCAATCAGCCACACATTTGAAATTTCTGGTAAGCCTGTTCTGCAGTTCCTGAAGGGGCCCATGATAGTCACAAAGCAGTGATACCCATACTCTTAGCCTTCAAGGACTGGCCTACGTGGCTAGAAGATGAGATGGGCTATACAGCCATGACGAGGACTACTGAAGAAGGGACATGCCTCCCCTCCAACATTCAGCCATGCTGGAGAATATGCCATGCTTTTCTGAGCTGGACCCTCACATGCACCATGTGCTATAATCGCACAGAGGGATGAGACAAAGCTAGATGGAAGGAATTTGAAATCTTAGTTTTTACAAGTGGACACAACTGCTGCACAACCTTAAACCACAAATGCCTTAGGCTTAACTAGAATTCCTCGCATGCAAGGCAATATAGATGATAAGTAGAAAATTAAAGGGGAACCTAAAGGAAACAGGAGGCAAATGCTGATGGCTGCATTTAGAACAAGGAAGCTACCTAATGGTCCCAGTGCCAACCCAGTAGCTGCCATCAAGAACAATGCAAGACAGACATGAGCTTGTTGCATCACAAGATATCAAAGCATCCACTATATATAGCTATAGAGATAATGAAGGACAGCGTGGAGGGGCGGCACACAGAATTCACCCACCAGGCTCAAAGGCAGAGCACAAGTGTCCTTCCTCAGACCCAGGGGCTGTATGTTTCTTTGCACAGGGTCCATGATAGAATCCAGGCTCGTTTGCTGCCAGAATTCAGCTGACTTCAACATGTGGGTTCAACATCTCCAGCACCGAATCAAGATGGCAAACGCTCACTGCCCAGTCAGTCCCAACAATAATATCTCTTTTCTGGTAAGTCAATGCAGAAGAGACATAAAGGGAATGGGACGAAAACAGAAACAGTGGCAGCTTTGAAAGTGGACGGGGGTTTTTTAGGAATTTTTTAGAATGCTGGAATCTGGAAATGAACAGTAGTGTTACCTGAGGGTACTGTTCCAGGCTATGGCAAGTAAACTCACTACGCACAAATTTGCAACTGCTACTCTATGCTCATGAGGTACTTTAGAAAAATGATTGACTGTTTTTGTTCCTGGGTTGTAACTACTACACTGGTAAGAAAAAAAAAAATTAAACTTCCTCTTAGTTACAGTCACAAAATAAAGACTTTTTGGTACATGCTGAGTGTCGCACAAGCGACACACTGCAACAACCACAAGGGTCACAAGATGGCAGGATTACACTGCCACTGAAACCACCCATACTGCTGTGCCTTGGGGAATTCACACACGGACACCCAGTGAGCTTTTGCCCATGCCACAGTACGCTCAGATTCCTAAAAGGTAAGTGTCAACTGGAAAGGCAGCTTGTCATTCCCCCCTCCCTAGCATTATTTACTAACAGTCCTGCTTTCTTTAGAAAAAGCAGAACTGTTAGTAACTGTTTTGGTGTGTTTTTTTTTTAAAGTTTCCCCTTTTTTAAACATCCGCTCTGCTGTCCTTAATGTCGAGCATGGCATAGACTCTAGGGCAACGCTGTACCTTAGCTGTGTCTAACAGCGTGCTTGTCTTCAGTTTGGGGGGGGAGAAAGAGCAAGCCACGCTACCCATCCTTAAGAGCTGCTGATTTCTGATGTTCCCTACAGTTCACATAACTGTTTGCAGTTAGGGGATCCAAAGTAATCTTACAGTAGCTAGCTCAGGTGGTCCTGCTCTAAGGAGTCAATGTAGATTGACAATTTGTCAACCATTGGAGCAGGCTGCCTAGTGAAGGGGTTGAGTCCCCATCCCTGGGGGTATTTAAAAGCCGGGCAGACGAGGTGCTTAGGGACAGGGTTTAGTGGTGGGATGGCAGGGGTAGGGGAACAGTTGGGCTTGATGATCTTAAAGGGCTTTTCCAACCTAAACGATTCTATGATTGCAGAAGTCCATCCAGGACTCAGCATAGCCATGCATGCCATAAGCCCACATCATTCCCCGCTCCCCTGTTAGCTGGACAGCACTGCTTTGAAGGAAAAGGAAAGTATCCCCCAATAAAGGGACCTGAATGCCAAGCCCAAAGTGCTTTGAACTAAGATGAAATTCAAATTCCAATCAAACCAGTGTCTCGGACAACCTCTTCTGAGGCGGAGAAGGAAAACGAGACCTTTCCCTTTCAATAGCTAAAGCTGCTTGGTTGTCTCAGCCGCTGCTCATGAAACCACAGCACACATGATTTCATTCAAGTAGGTAGGAAACCTACAGCAAACTCAGAACTTCATCATGGGGTTCCCAATTTCCAAGTATATATCCTAAATGCCTTCCTTTCACTACGCTATAACCCTTAAAAAGACCCTAATTGTAGCTTTATCTCATTTTCTCTGTCTCAAAAAAAAAAAAAAGGTGCCGTGTGATGAACAGTGGAAGAAAAGGGAACTGATGAGACATCTGTTGTGTAACACCATTCTGAAGTGGGAAGGAAAACCTATTCAGCACTTGGGAAGGATGCAGTATTTGACCATGGTGGAAGTGGCTAGTGGCTGCATGGGGGTAATGTACAACGTGTACAGCTCTGACATGTGGGTGGCTCTGAGAAGACTGGTACCTGGGAAAGTTTAGGCTCACGTGGAACTGATGCTTAAAGAAAAGAAAAGAGAAAAAAAAAAAAAAAAGGCTAATTATGTCAAAGTCCCACAGTATTAAAGAGACAAAAGGAAATGCAGCTGTGTTTCTGAAAGCTGCTTCTGACATCGCATCCAAACAGTTGCACTCAGCTTCCAAGGGAGTAGAGCTGGCAGGGATAGTCCACCCCTTCCCAATCACACAGCAAGATCAACACTCTCTGAACATTTCCTTGCAGATGTGTTTAGAACTGTTCTAAAAAACCTCACCACTTTGTGTTATCCTGTCAGCTTTCTAAGCAATGAATATCCAACCTGAATATGAAATACAAAGAATAATATCTGTGGCTGGCACAGGAGCAACTGGGTGCTTGCAGACAGTTCCGAGTTTTGGTGTATTGTCATAGCCATCAAACTTCATATTCTGCCTTTGACTGAGATGGATCCACTGAGTGGAAGTTACCGAACGTTTTTGCTGTCTCTAAGACGCCTCTTTTCCGCAGGACTCTGAGGAAAGACTGCTGATCCTGTTTCCAGAAGACCTGCTTTTCCTCTCTGTGGATAAGGACAGAACTGCAATCACATACAAGGTAACAGAGGAAGTACTGCTCAAATAAGCGAAGAACTAAAAGGAGCTGGAGCTAGTGAGCAGCACTGGGTAATGAAAATGCCTGAATAGCGAGGAGAAAAGGGAGGAGCCAAAGGAAAAGCAGCTTTTTTCTTTTCTTCTTTGAAGGGAAAACTCCCCTTAACTGGAATCCAGGCAAAGGAGAAATCTGCTATGCTGGACAGGTTACAGTTTGAAATTACAGGTATGGAATGGAAAAAGAAAGCTGAGAGCTATGAAACACAAGAGATTCTGTCTGAACTAAGGGAAACAGGTTTTTTTACTGTGGGGGTGACTGAGCCCTGAGACAGGTTGCTCAAAGAGGCTGGGGAGTCTCCAACCTTGGAGATACTCAAAAGCTGTCTGGACATGGTCCTGGGCAACCAGTGCTGGGTGGCCCTGCTTGAGGAGGAGGGTTGGACCAGGTGACCTCCAGAGGTCCCTTCCAACCTCAACCATTCTGTGATTCTAATAAGAAACTGAGCAACACTGGTGCTCAGGCTTGCCTTGAGGATGGGTTATCTTGTGAAGTTATCTTCCCACAAGGGATAGTCCCCGTGACTTTCCTTGCTAATAAACTGTCACGGCAAACTTTGCACACTTTTCCATCACCAAACTGTTCCCTGCTAATGTCTTGCAGGAAGCCTGACGGAACCAATCCTTATCACCTGTTCCACAGCAGAGGATTACGAAAAATGCCTCTTCTACATACAGAAGGTATTTTTTCAGAGAACTTTACAGCAGCAATATCTCTTTTCAAGCCTGGGATTTTCCCTGCCATGGATTCATCTAGGATCTATCATCCTCCCAACTTCTCCTTTTCCACAAAAGACTTACCTGAATAGGGAGTTGGTTTCAAGCCTTTCTTTCTCCTGATAAGACTCATCCATTTGGCCAGTAAAATATCAGTGGGTATTTAACAAAAGAAAAACACTCCATCAGCAGGGGTTGAATTTGGGTCCTCTTAGGCAAAACGCTTACTTACTCTAGGAGTGAAAGAGTGATACCTAAGCACTCGATTTGCACTGATTTAAATTGAAATTACACACTGAAATAAGCAGAACTACTGAGGGGAGGAGGCAGAGACTCTATTTCATGAAGCTGGAGAGACACATTATGTCACACTACCTTCTAAAATACCCATGATAGCACTACCAGCTTATGACCTGGTTTCCTGGAAGTTAAACCCTTGTAAACAGGAGTTAGTTCCAAGTAGGTCCTTCAAAGTAGAACCATATCTAGGTTCTAGTTTTCAGAGTCTATCATTTTTTGTTGGCCAGCACATATTGCACACCCTATACAGTGGTCATCCTATCCAGGCTCAGAGGAAAGATTAATCAGGAATGGATGTTTTAAAAGCAGAAGAGATGTTGGGCTCTGAGTATTTACTAATCAATAGGGCTATTCTAGAGTTGAGCATGGCTATGTTTATCTAGTGTGTAAATTCGTGGCAGAGTTAGGATATTCACGTGCTGAAAATATCTTCCAGCCAGAGAAAGTCCTTGATCCTCTGACTCTCCAGCCACCACCAATCATCCCTAAGAAATCCCGACACCATTGGTAGGACATAGCATGCAATGACAAGAAAGAGGTATGTTGAATGCAATCCCAACAGAAATGGAAGAAGCTGCAAGAATGACTAAGAACAGACTGGAAATTGGAAACCAAGCTTCTTTCAGACAGAGGTGAATAAGGGTCTGCACAAGAACTCTTCTCCACTGGCTGCCGTTTTGAGTGGGTCATTGCAATCAGTGTAAGATCTTGTGATTCTGACCTCAGCTGTACATATGCCTCAAGGAGAAACCTTTTTTCAACTTTCTTACTGTATTTATTGCCTGATTCTTATCAAAAGAAGAAACATTGTAAAAAACTGTGTAAATACTATTAATAAAACACGTTTACCTGAGCCTAATCCATGCATAGAAAGCGGCGTTCAGGTAACTGTTGGTTTGGAGACCAGTTGCTTTCCTTTGAGATGGCAGGTATAGTGCAATTCTTGATGGTGAACAGCCCCTTTTCTATAGCTTTTTTTCCCTGCCCAAATCAAGAAGAAATGTTAATCCTGGAAGTTTTCGCAAACCAAGAATTGTTTCCCCAAATACTCATTATTGTCTTCTACCCTCCAAGAGGAACAACGCAAAAACCTCTCGGTTGGATCAAATCTACTCATTCTAATGATTTCAAAATATTTCATTCGGATTTTTAACACCTTAAGAATTTTTTCCCCCCATACATATACACAGCACTGAAAAGGAAGCCTTGCTACAAACTGAAACAACAAAGCATTTAATTTCAAACAGTTCTCAGTTACCTGTAGGTTAATCATCCAGGCTGCACCCATGGGATAGCTGCAAAGTCAACCGAACAAGCATGGTGTGGTCCCATGGTCCCTGAGCTATCCCAATTTTTCCTTTATGCAGCCTACGCTGGCCACATGTAAATCAAGAAAACAGACAGCTGCGTATACTGCAAAAAAAATATTTCAACATTTTTAGAAGAAAGAAAATATCTAACATAGGTTTGCCCACAAGCACCATAGATTTTGAGTCTCTTTTTGTGAGGCTTTCAAGAACTGAACACCTCCGCCAGGCTGGGCTGAAACTAGGCGATAAGTTGACAATTATTTGGAAAAGCAGGCGTGTAATCACACAATTGCTTAATTTCCCTTTCCTTGGGAAAGGAGACAAAAAGAATCAAGGACAGGAAGTCCCGTGAAAACATTATTTTACCTTCAGTTTCAAAACACTAATAATTTGCAGAAAACATGAGCAGAGGTGGTAGCATAACAAAACTCTGTCTGCACATATTCTTAGCTGCCTTCTGTTTGAGCAAACCCTCTAGCACAAGAAAAGCTGTTTCTATACCTCAAGCATTTCTCTTATCCCCTTACTCTTTCACTGTTTTTTTGCAGCTAAAAGATGAAGAAATCCCCAGAGCTCCCTGGGGTCCCAAACACCCGTGATCATTATTTGTCTATGTGAGTGAGTGCCTGTATGGAAGGGTATCACCTTACAGCAAGTCGCTTTTAAACAAAGTTTAAAACTTTGTCTTGACAGTGTGAAGTTTGTTAAACATTTACACGTAGAGAAAATCCTGAAGAACTGTAGATCCAGAATTTTTTTAATTAAACTTTTGGAGAGGGTGCACAAAAACAGAGATAGAAAGATAATTCCTCTCCTCTACTAGGTGCCATTTCCCAGCCCTGAACTTTTGCCATCATACCTTTTTAATTTTACAAGTCATAATTTGAGAACACAGACCCAAGATTAGAAGCACAAAACACTAAATGGTAACACTGGCTCTGGCATCAGGAAAATAACATACATTACTCAGAAAGAAGCTGCTAAATTTGGTTCTAACTTCAGAGCTAGGTCACTGTAAGATGCCAAGAACTCAAAGCAATGGGAGGTTTCCCTCCAGAAGGTGAGTTTCAATTCTCACTGAGCCAGCCACATCCCCTTTCCCCCAGGGCAGGCGAGGGAGCCTCAGGCACAGCTTAAGTGGCGTCAGCTTCTAAGAAATCAGAAAACACGCTATGTTAGTAGCTTCTTAGACTGTGTCAGTGGTGACCCTTTCTAAGTATTATTAAAGCACATGGGCTACAAGAGCTGGCTCTTAAGATGGTGAAAGATTTCACTGACCAGGTATGAGACACTCAACACCCCCTGGCAGCTTGCGAGGCTGCCTCAAGTAGAAGGGAAAGCAGAATGAAAAGGCGCGCTTTTCACCATGTAGGAGACTTCTTCCACCTCTGCTGTATAATCAGAATTGTTCCAGAAATTTCTTAGTGAATTGCTACCTGCTTTTCAGAGTCCTCACTCGTATGCAGGCTGCAGCAGGACACGTGTGTGTGCAACACTTTCCATCTCCCCTTTCCTCAGCAAAGGCAAGAGTGCTGGCCGCAGAACGCAGGTTAACAGGCAGGTAAACCCTGGGAAATGCTTTCCCAGTTGGACACAGAGCCTTCCGAGTCCGGGAGCAGGCAGCCTGCCTCTGTGGAGCAGAAGGGTTGCAGAGGCATTACTCAGCATCCCAAACAGACAGACACCACCACCAAATCCAACCCCAAGACACTACCTGACAGTTGCTTCTCTTCCAGCCAAAGCTGGACACCGCCAGCAGAGCTCCACGCCACCAGTTACCCCAGGGCTGGGGCTGATCAGCGTTACCGACGGGCAGCCAGCCCACTCCTGCCTCGGGGGAGCGACACAGCCCTTGGAGCAGCAGCCAGCGCCGTGCTCCGCTGCTCGGCGGCTGCAGCAGTGGCAGCGGCACAAGCCCAGCTCCCATCCCTGGCTCGGATGCCCAGCCATGGCTGTAACGGAGCGATCCGCATCCTCACCTCATGGATGGATTCAGGTGTGAAGTCAGAGCAGCATTAAGATTGCTGGTGAGGGCAAACACCCCCCAGACTGGTATGACAAAGTACCTAAGAAAGACTCCTAAAATAGCATCAGGTCTTTACTCATCGCTGGCAGCTCAAGAGCTTTTTTTTTTTTTACAATTAGATTCCTCAACTCACAGGACAACTCAAAGACAAGCTTAAGATAAGTGCTGGTCAACTCCTAATAAAACAAGGACTAAGTGCTACCAACAGTCCCACAAAAAAATTGCATTTTTTTCCATAAACATGAAATATACCTTTTCAGGTTCATCTACATAAAGTGTAAAACTTACTATGTCCTCAGTTAAGCCTTACTTTGATGTTGTCATTTTGGAGCCTGCATATTTGCCTTTTTGTTAGCACTGCCAAGGAACTTTTTTTTTGGTTTGGTTTTTTTTTTTTTTTTAGATATTGCCATATATGATATTTTAACTAAATAACTCATACACATTGTGTTTCTACATTTTCTTGATCGCTTAGCCTCTAGAAACTTTGGGATATTTTTCAGGGATATTTTGGTTTTTGAGAAGAGATTCAAGCAAAAAAAATATTGTTACAGACATTTCCTTGGACGTAAATGATTTGAGGGAGAAGCCTTTTTAAACCTACAGCCCATATACAGAAATCAAGCTTTAGTTCAAACCAGAACATGAAAACCCCCACAAACTCTGGGATTTGAGCTGAAAATTCATCCATGATCTGATTAAAATATTACAGTAATTGCACACTGATAAAATAAAGCTATTGTTCTTTCTGAATGGAAACTTAAATCTAGTGTTTTCTTACAAGCTCACTGTTCCGAGCCAATAGCTTTCATTTCCTTTGATGCAATGAACAACTCTTTCACTGAATTTCTCCAGGGCTTAAATGATTCACACTTGGGGTTTTTCCCTCTGAATTGGAGCTTTGAGAAGTCAGGAAATTGGTTGCTTTTCCCATCAATAAGCAGCCGTAAGGTCAGGTGGTTAGATAAGCAGGAAGTGGAACCGTTCTTCAAGGTAGGCACACAAAAACCCAAAAGGCCCCCGTGCAAATTTCCAATGAATAATATGGCTCTGTTCATCGTGTTTCAATATTATCTGGCAGCAGTGTTGGCTATTCAACACCCACAGCCCAGAAAGTCTTGTACACCTTACCGAGCTTTGCCGCATCTTGCCAGAGGCACGGACTGCCACTAGACACTCAAATCTTTCATTCCTCAAATAGTAAGCTCTGTTGATTTTTTTTTTTTTTTTTTTTTTTTT